TCTCTCTCTCTCTCTCTCTCTCTCTCTCTCTCTCTCTCTCTCTCTTTCTTTCTTTCTTTCTTTTTGGTTTTTCGATACAGGGTTTCTCTGTGTAGTTTTGGTGCCTGTCCTGGTTCTGGCTCTGTAGACCAGGCTGGCCTCGAACTCACAGAGATCCTCCTGGCTCTGCTGGGATTAAAGGCGTGCACCCCCCCCCCCCAGCTTAAGAAGACCTTTTAAAAGGAGACTGCCCCACCGGGGTAGCAGGCCATGGAAGAAGGGTTGCTGTGGTATCTGGAGTTTTTTGTTTGTTTTTGTTTTTGTTTTTTAAGAATTTGGGAACTCCTGGTTCCACCCAGTGCAGTATGTGACCATGAGGTTAGACAAAGAGAAGGACTTCCCAGGAAGGGGGTGGGGGCAGCAGCGGAGCACTATTTTCTTTGGAGCTGCCACTCAGCGGAAAGGTCCATCTTGGACTGCAGGGACATTTTTAAAGTTGCAAACATCAGAGACAAAGATCAAGGGCAAATGGGGAGTTAGAAAAGGCTCCGCTGGCTGGTGAGGGTGTGGGAAAGGCAGCAGAGAGTCAGGGAAGCACATGGTCCGGGGCTCAATGCCTACTTACATTTTTTACTGAGAGCCACAGGGTCAGGAGCCCCAGTGAGAGGAGGGGGAGGGGCCTGCTAGCTCAGGTGTGGAAGGAGCAGGTTAGGAAAGGGCGGGTGGGGGCACTTCTGAGCAGAGCGGGGCGGGAGAACCAAGGCCTGAAGGGGTAGCTGAGCACTTGGGAGAAGTGGGAGATGCCCCGGGAATCCTGACCGGCCCTTCTAGGGATTGGACTGCCTGGGAAGAGGCTTGTGCACTGAGACCCAGGGTCAGGCCCAGGGCCTTGCCTGGAGCTGAGGCCTCCAAAGGGGCTGGTGTCTGTGAGGGGGTGGTGGGTCAGACCCTCCGCGAGGATCCTACGGGGAGGAGCAGTGGGAGGCGGGGCGGAGGGGGACGGCAGGAGGAGGGGCCGGGCCTCTGTCCACCGCGTCAGTGCTGGTTGGAGGGACGAAGTGAAGGGGCTCGGAGCCCGCCGAGCAGAGGGTTCCCACAGGCGAGCGAGCCCGCTGCCATGGCGCTGGTGGGGCCTGTGATCTGGAGCTCCAGACGAGATGTCCACCTCCTCCTCCTCCTGCTGCTGCTGCTGCTGCCGCCCTGGGTCCCGGCTGGTGAGTGGCTGGGCCTGGGGGCTTTACCCCAGGCAAACACTGAAGGCCTGGCCGGAGAGACTGGTAGCCAAGCTAGAGGGAACCGTGTCCCGGGCCCCAGAACGTGTGGATCCTGAGGTTGGGGGTGTCCTGGGACTCACTTGGAGTGTCCTGGCCACTTCATACTGAGGAGCCTATGCAAGCGGGGCCAGGAGGATCAGGGCTGATGTGATCTGCAGAAGCCCGTCTGGGAGACCTGGTGTGTTTGGTGTGGTTTAGTTGGGGAAAGGTGTCCCTTGGGGAAAGCGTGCCGGGTTAGGTGGAGAAGTTTCAGAGAACCCAAGCAATCACCATAGAGTCTGCTGGAGTCATGCGTGGAGCTAGGGTGCAGGTGGCATGTAAAGTTGCCAGGTGGTGGCTCTCGGGGTTAGCCGGCCTATTAAGTTCTGTCTGAGTGTAGAGAGTTGTGTACTAGCGGAACTGGCTCTAAGTTGTCTCACATGGTCAACTGGCTTTTCCTGGCAACTGGAGGTGGGGGTGGGGGATGGGGGCTGGATCCCTCCCTTCTATGGGTCCTCTGTCTGCACTTGAGGGGCAACCCTAAGAGCTGTTCTGGGTCTTTGGGGTGGCTAGGGATTTGGGATCATGTGTGTGTCCCTGCAGCCTACCTCTGGCATTCCTCAGCTAGGCTGGAAAGGCTCCCTGAAGCCAGCCCAGGCAGCCAATGCTCTTTCGCCTTTGTCCAAGTGCATTCAGCACTGAGCCTGGAATTCCTACTGGGGGGTCTGGAGGACGCGTTGGTTTGGTCACTATAGTTACGGGGGCATCAGGGAGGGCCTGGGTTCCCTGCAGCTGGTGAACCCCACCTGTGGCTTTCCCTCTGCCTGCCCACTAAGCCTTTATTGCTTCCTCCTCTGGGCAGGAGGGAGAATGGGTATAGCGAGGGCCTCATTTTGTAGGGAGGAAACCAAATGAAGGTCAGAGAAGGAAGGGACTTAGAAGCTGGGTACCTGAAGCAAATGAGGATGGAGAAACCAGGTGACCCCAGGCTGTCTGTACATTAACGGCAGGAGGTTCTGGGCTGTGCACTTTGGGTTTGTCCCACCTGTACTACACAGATGCTCATGACAGCTGCAGAGATGTTTGGCATGGACAAGGATACACACCACAACAGGAGACAGGTGTCCACAAGCATGTGCCAGGTCTCCCTGTGAACTCACTGGTAAACTTGCTGATCAACCTTGCAGGTATTGCCACGTGCATAGCACATGCCTGCATACACCAGCAGACTGCACTGACATTCATGTGTTCACACAGGAGTGTTCATGCACGTGGACTTATAAGGTGGGCAAACAGCATATCAGAGGTGCAAAAGGGAATACCATGTCCTGTGTATCCCCCTGCACCCCAGTGGCCTCTCAGGGGCCACCATTTTCCCATGACTTCTGTGTGCAGAGCCCTTCTCCAGGGATCCCTGAAGCTGGAGGGGGCACTTACAAACACTAGTACCCAGGGTCGACTGAGGGAGTGGAGATGCCAGGACTTTGTGACTTGAAAGCTAATTTCCATCCCAGAGAAGATGAAAGTTCTGGAGGCCCAGGACCAGACCTGATGCCCACTCCGGCCAGGCCCTGAGCCGGGCCCCTCCATCCCAGCCACTCTGCAGCAGAGGACTGCTGGTTGCTATGGAGAGGATGAGGCATCTTGGAGTACAAAGGGACACACTGGGTTGTTCCCACCCCCACCCCTTCCCTGAACACCCAGGGAGCACAGTTCACAAAGGGGAAGCCAGTCTTCCCCAAACCTGGCCCCTCCTCCAACTTGAGGGGCGGGGCATATAGGAGAGAAGCAGGGGTGCCACACACTTCCAACCAATGAGGGGGTCTGCTGGCTACTGGGTGCTAGCCTCCAGCAAAGTTTGCTGATGGGTCACACCACCCATTATGTGGAAAGCATTTAATCCTCCCAGCAGCCAGTGAACCTCGTTCTCTACCCTCTGTTTACAGAACAGGTAAATGAAGCTCAGAGAAGGTCAGCAGCTTGTCTAGGATCCCAAGAGCAGTGTGTGGTTGGGCCGTGTCACGAGGAGGTGGTTCTTTAGCTGGTTGGTTACAGCTCTTTGTACCTCTGTTAGATGGGGCCCATCGTTCTTTCCAAGGGTCATTTCCAGATTGGATGCACTAATGCTGCCTGTCTGCAATATAGGGGATGAAAGGACCCCCAAACATCAAGGAAATTGTATTATTATTTTAAAAATATATTTTATAATTATTATTAGTGTGTGTGCGTGTGCGTGCGTGCGTGTGCGTGTGCGTGTGTGTGTGTGCGTGTGTGTGTGTGTGTGTGTGCGTGTGTGTGTGCGTGTGTGTGCGCGTGTGTGCGTGCGTGCG